TCTAGTGGGGCTCTTTAAAAAATCCAAGGAAGCACAATCCAAGCATGCCCAGTCTATGCAATAGCTGAAATGGACGTTCCATCTCTGGAAAACTGCTAATAGATGCTAATAAAGAGATAAGCGTACCAACTGCATAACTGTGAATGACCAAATCTCTACTCCCTAAGCCTTTGTCACAGAAGACTTTAAGCACAATTTCTTTTTAAAAGCATGTTATTCCTTTTAAGGCTTTAATAAGAAATCTAAATCAAGGACAAATTCCCATCTCCTACAATTAGAAAAATTAGAATAAATATAGCATCTTATAAAGATGTTCCCCCACTCCTATACTACTATCCTAATTCAGGTCTCCATCATTTCCCCATAACTTAGCAGTGTCCTAACTACTTTTCCTGTTGGAATTCTTTTCCCCTCAGCAAATTTTTCTAAATGATCTTATAAAACTTAAAAAGAACATTACTTTTAGTGCCGTAAGCAAATTAGTCACCAATCCAGTTCAAATTCTCTGTTGGGTTGTCAGAAAAGTCATGACGTATTTTTCCTGTTTTTTGTTGTTGCAAAAATGCATCATGACTTTTCCAACAACCCAATAACACTGTCACTACTATGTATTGGGTCACTTGAGGTGGGTCTATAACTACTACTCTGGAATCTCACTTTTCCTGTTAGGAAACTAGGAAAGAGTTTCACATAAGGCCAAACTCTCCTACCAGGGCAGCATCTGGACTACAACCAATAATCCTGGCCTCACATTTAAGAACAGGCTCCCTTGAGATTTGACAAGAGTTCAATATCCCGGACAGTACATTATATGTTTATCAAACTGGTACTTTCCTTAGAAACCTTACTCCATTTAGAATGTTTTTACCCACAGATACTTAGTAGTCATGGAACCTAGATGGACACTTAATTTTTGTTACCTAGAGATATAACAATACACACAAGTCAAAAACAAGTGGAGAAGAACTATACCTAATTTTCAGAGGCTACATTCTTTCCACTAGATTCTACTGCTGAAACACATTCTTAGTTTTCTAAAAATTAAATGTTAACAATACACTAAAAAATAATTCTTAAGATATGAAAATTACCTTTTTATGCTATTATATGTACATATTTCAAAAATCAACTTTCCAGAAACAGAAATGCAGTGTAAAATCCAGAAGATACATACCCAAGAAAACAATCTGTATCACTCATCCATTGATTTACAAACTGTACAGTTATAGGTCCAGGGTTGTGAGGCAACTGAATTCTTTCTAAGGTATGTAGCAGCAAATCAGGGTTGTAGTACAAGGCAGCAATTGCAACCTGAAGACACATGGTACGGAGCTCACTAGTTTTGACCCCTCGGGTTAATCTCTCCAAAACAAGTTGAACAAAAAGTGGAATGCACTAGAGGAAAAATAGAAAAAGAGAATTAACCATACACAAAGAAACCAAGTAACTTTTATAGAAAGCTGAGTGTTGGTAAAAAGTGTAATCGATAAATAAGATACTTTTAGTGGATAAATAAGATAGTTTTAGTGGAAATAAAACTTTTGGTTATTTAAATTATTTTTAGAGATAGTAAATTTATATTCTCATAAAAATTCAGAGAGATGAAATGGCCAAAGGAAGGTCTTACGGTAGTGCCAAAAAGTCTCCTTCCGTTTTAAGTGTAGATTACAGTTAGTTGGAGACTGTCCTACAAAAGTCCACACCCAAATGATGGCAATATCCAAATGTGAAGTTAGTCTTTTCAAGTTTAAGATAAATGACTACAGTGAGAAATCAAATTAGGAAGATAAATTAATAAGATTCAGAATAAGCATGATGTGATCAGAACTTCTCTTGAGAAAGAAAACTCCTGTTCGTATAAGAATGAAGAGAAAATAGTGGAGTTGGCACATTAAAACAAAATCATCTAACTTCAATTCCAAAATAAAACACTGATGAACTAATTTTATTGTATTTACCAATAGCTATTTTTCAATTAATATGGATGGGCTNGCAAATCACCTTCATTTATGTACTTTACTGTAAATTTATAACCTGTAAACTACAAATATCTCCCAATTATAATTTTTGATGATGAGTCACCTAAGAACCACAAAAAGAAAAATCAAGCTGTCTCTTCTAATATGCTGTGCTCTGACACTTCTCAGTCTAATGGTTAATTTAACTTATAGCTGCTGCCTTCACCGAGATTGTCAGCACCAAAAACCAAACAAACAAAAAACACTAGGTTGCTAATTTATGTAAGACCATTTAATTCTGTTATAAGTGTATTTCCCTGGGTATAGCAACATTCACTAGGCTCAATAATAAATCACTTACATGTCAAAAGGTGAACAAAGATAAATTTATATCAATGATATAATTAAGTCAACCAAACCCAAAGTATTTGTTAAATGTGCAACAGGCCAAAAAATGTAAATCTGTTCAATGACTACAAACAGACTAAGATTCAAAGAAAATGCATGCTCAAATCAAAATCAATTCTAGCATTCATTGCAGTTAGAAGACTTTACCATTTTCTTCCATATCAGTTTTCTCTGCTTTTGAGTGATCTTCCCGGTTTACCAGTTGTCTAGTAGCACAGACCTGCTTTAGGCCAAGGAAAAGGAAAAGAATTGAGGGCACGATCTGTCCCACCACAGCATCTACTGCAGGAGGTCGATTTTGCAATTCCAAGAGGATACTCAGTCCTATTATACACATCTTCCGGTCATGATGCCTACATGATGAAGGGGGGAAAAATGTGCACATAAGTAATGAGGACAAATTCTGAGGAAACTATAAAAAGGAATGTCCAAGGTGTATACTCTAAGATTCATTCACTGGAATTATACATAGGTATCTCCCATTTTGTACTACATGAAATCTTATGCAAATCAAGTTTTGTAAACCAATTATTATCATGAAAGACTTATGGGAGTCTGCAATCAGTATGGTGAAATCTTGCTGTAATATCAATTTATGATTACTGTAAGTGCTATATGTGGGTCTTGGAATAACAAGTTTTATTAAAATAAGAACACCTGTATTTTACAGCATAAAATTCCTATCCAATGGAAAAAATGAAAAGTTCCTTAGACTTTGTCTTTACTAAACTGTTCTACATGTTTCTTGGCAGATGTACGGTACACTAACCCCAGGTGCCAAAAGCTATTTCAAAACCTCAAGATCTAATAAGCTGAATTCATGGTTATAAGTAAATCTATTAAATGTCCTCTGCTATAACACAAAATAAGGAAAATTTAATTATGAAGGAAAAATTCGACCAATATACATTACATACATTTTTCTTACTAAATGTTTCTTCTAAGTTGTTTCAAACTAAAAATATTAAGAATGAAAAGACTACTGTATTGTATCACACCTAAAATTGCAGTTTTCTTGGAAAATGAAAAAAAAAAAGAGTTGGCTTGGGAGCGCGATCTCTGAACAGCAGGGCTGCCAGTTCAGTTCCCACATGGGCCAGTGACGCTGCGCCCTCTACAGCTAAGATGGTGAACAACAGCTTGAC